AAATTTTTTTATCTCTTGCTTCATATTTATATATTAACTCCTTAAGAATGCTTATTATGTATAACAAATCAATCGCCTAGACAAGACTTACAGGAAAAGTTTCGGCATCCGTAGAAGTGTTAAATAATACAAATATCTATGATAAGATACAGAGAGAAATGAAAAACACTTATTGCTTCCTCTAAACATCTTTTACTTACTCAAACTATTTTGAAAGTAATTCCAAAAGGTGGCAAAATCTCCGATATATCCTTGAGTCTTTATGGCACAATTAAGATGATACCAAGAGGTTGCAACGTCTTTCGGATTGCGAGCAACGTAGACGACCTTTCGAAAAAAGCGTCGCAAAGTCATAAAGACATTTATTATACTAATAAATTCCTCAATTTTCTACATTCAGTTATTACCTTGCAACCAACATCTAAAAGTCCAGGAAGCATGCTGAAAGGAAAGTGGCTCTTTATGAATCTAGGCGACGGCATTTTGGCAATAACTTCGTAACCGGGCTTGGCTATCTCCAGACATAGCTCTTGCTTCGCAATGTTCTCCTTATTCATTGACAAAAATTCACGAGTAACTTCAGGATGATTAAACATACTAAATTCAAGAAATGGAAACCTCTCTGTAAGTAGACGCTTTCTTGCCAAGTCAAAGTTCAAATTGTTAGCCAACAGCCAGATAAGCTCCGACGTCACAGTAGTTCCTAAAAATAACAAAAATAGCAACAATTTCTTTTATCGCGTTTAAAAAAAAACAATTTATCTTTTCGCTCATTAAAACAATTCAAAATAAAATTCTAAAAGATTGAAATAAATAGAATACATTAGCGTAGATTTAATTAAAAAACATTTAAAAATAATTTTTAAAAAGTTGAAGAATTAATTAAATGATTTTGAAGAAAATTAGAATAAAACGTTTGAAAAATAATTAGAACGTTAATTAAAAGACGCCTAAAAAGTTAGGACGTTAAATAAAAAATAAGCCCGATTAAATTTGAATATCTTCGTAATGTTTTTCTGTAATTTAAATCTTCATGTTTTATCGTTCGCGTCTATAGAATATTAATTTTCACGCTAGAAATATCTACGTGTCAAGAAATCACTATTGGCAATCAATATACTGACCTGATCTGGGATGTGACAAAATCCACGTATCATCCGGCCTGGCTTCGAAATTATAGAAGCCGGCACCCTGTTCAATATATCTAAACGGGAAAAAGTATTTCTTTGGACCAACGAGCACAAAGCCAGTCCTCTCGCCCTTAAACAGCTTCAGCATCTCCCTCGTCTTCTCTTCCGGCAGACGCTCGTATTTCGGAGGTTCTCGGGCCATCTTCGTCACTCATTCCTTTCCCAACTGATCGTCGATCGTTCAAAACTCGACAGTTAGCTGATTGTTATGATTTGCAGTCGCGATCAGTTATAAGAAACGGAGAGCCTCGATGATCACCAGCTTGACACGCGCGAGCAAATCTCCGAATGAGAACTTCGCGCGTGAATTGATGCGGTGTGGGGGACTTTCCTCTTCCACCGGCGGCTTCTCCAAATTCTCAATGGCTTCTCATTATTTCACGGTCACTTGATGTTTCTCAGTTTGGTAGTAGATTATTTGCTCAGATATTAATCGCAACAAATTATCTACGTTTACATTAAACTCGTGTTTTGTCCGTAGAGTTTGTTGATAATCTGATAGTAGATTGTCGACAGAAATCGAGCAGAATCTGTAATTTCGTAGACATTTAAATAGAATACATTATTTAAATATATTTAAAATAATTTATTTATATAAAATAATTTATTTATATTTAAATAATGTATTCATATATGATTGCAAGAATTTAGGTCAATCGGTCATAACTTTCTTCATAACTTTCTCCATAACTTTCTCCAAATTACCGTATTTTCTTCTTCCTTCCTAAAAAACGTAACGATTCTAGGTAGAACATGATAAAACTCATAATGACGTTATCACGACTTTATTCATCGCTTAAAAATCACTTTAACGTCACTTTGACCTCATCATAACGGTTTTGCTTGGGATCTTGCTAATCTCAATTAAGAGGCGTTTAGAAGAAAATCAATTCTTATATTTCACATTTCTTAAATTTAATAAATTGTTTAAGATGTCGGAAGTATATTTCAAGAATATTAGATAGAAATAATGTAAAATAATAATTACGGAAATTTTTGAAGGGCGCTTTGCACCACTGTCGTACGACCGATTGACTATCTCACAGATGTTCTAAACGAAGATACGCTCCTCAGCGTCAAAGGACACGGGTTTCTTAACAAAACTTAATTCTCTTAGTGAGATCTATCTCCCCCTAAAGTACGTCCCATAGATCCCATTATACCCTCTGTATATAATAACTATTATAGAGATCGGATTTTTATGTAACTGCATATTTTTTTAGCACTGAACGCATATTCAGTGATTATTCACTGATATCAGTGTAAATGTAAATATAAATGTAAAGTATGCCATTTCAGTGACTTTTTACTGATTTAGATTTAGAGAGTGCGCATTACATGACTTAGTCGAGTTTTTCTTCCCGTATACGTTTCTACGAATTATTTCTTTCTAATTATTTTTTATTATCAACTTCTGCAGAGGTTCAACATATACAGAAAGAAAAACTTGACTCAGTCATGTAATGCGCACTCTCTAAATCCAAATCAGTGAAAAGTCACTGAAATGGCATACTTTACATTTACATTTATATTTAGGGGAAACCGGGACACCATGAGCCACGGGGTACCATGGGTCATTGACTGTTTAAGGTAATCCAGAATGTTTAGGTTGATTCAACTAGTATCATGTGACAGTTATTTCGTTGCCCATACTTCGTATCTAGGTGGCAGTCATCAAAGTCCGTAGTCTTGAGACGCACGTGACACAAATGGTTTTCGTGATGCGTAAATAACTTTTTAACCATTTAGAAACGTTTCAATGTTGTTTTTGTAGTAAAATATACACGAATTTAAAAGTAGGTGTAACTTTCTAGCATTTTTTGTTATTTTACTGCACTACAGATAATCATGTATTAATAATTTTTTTGATTACGCGCGTTTCACCGTTTTCTATATTAAGTGTATTCGGGGCACCATGGGTCACACACGCCACCAAGGTTGATGATAAATAAATAGGTTGATGATATATGTTATGTTTGATTCAAGAAAACATGTCAAAAAAGT